TGCCTAACTCCTGGAGCGTCTTTTATAACTAGGTTCCATATACAAAGAAAAAAAAGGAGGTCTAAAGTATAATAATTTTACTTTTTTGAGTCAAACTTCAAATCCAAGTTCTAGCATAAAGCTATACTCTTCTTCTTCTTCTTCTCCATACTTGCATTGATCATGCTAGTGTAGTGGTGTCTTTTTTTTATTTGCTATGAATAAAGTGAGGGAAAAACTTATTAAATTCATCAAATGTTATGGATACAGATTGTGGGATTTGTTGACTGCTCATCCTTTATTGTTTCCTTTCTCGTATGCCATATGACCATAGAAAACCTGAATCTCAACCCACTGCATTAAAGAATAACCTACTCAATCTTTGTCAGTTGTCCTACATATTGTTCAAAGGAAATGAATAGTAAAAAGAATTGTTTAAGGCAGTCTCCACTCTTCTATTTTAATCATTTATATATATGTCAGAGTTCAATAGGATATATATGCAAAAGATGCAAGTAGCTTTTCCCATCCTCTAATCTTTTCATCGTGAGGGTTAATTATGCATCATATACAAATAAAAATGTAACAAAAATAGAGTTAATCATGCATCATATACAAATAAAAATATAGCAAAAACAAAACTAACAAATTGAATTACGCCTTACTATTTAAGGGTCTCTTTCATACCAAATTGAGTACAAAATTAAATTAATAAATAAAATATATGATTATATCACTTTACTTAAATAACAAAGGTTAATGAATTTTTGTTAAACCATCAAAATAGCCTTCAAAAATCTCAACCACCTCAGCACAGTTGTTGCAACCCAAAGCTATCTAAGAAATCCTAATGAAAAATCTTTTTTTTTAAGTATTGGGAGTGCTAAGCCTTGATAATGGGCTAGCAAAGACGAGTTTACTAAACTCATAATCTATAGAAAAATTTGGAGATGAACACACTAAAGAAATCAAGTAAATGAAAAATTATTTTTTCTTAACATAAAGGGTGGTAAGGCAAAAGGAATTTCAAGTGTGTTGTTCTTCTAATTTTTCAACCACTGTCTTATTTTTGTTTGAAAGCTATAGCAAGGAATTTATACCATGGATTAATTTTAAACCTTAATTACAAAGCTATTATGTTGAGAATTAATCCAATAATTTGATTAAACAATTTAATCAAATTCTTAAGAAACTCAATTAACTTAATTATTTAATTTAATCAATTAGACCCAATAACTTAATTAAATAATTTAATTAATTAAGTCCAACAACTTAATTAAATAATTTTAATAAATTAGGCCCAATGACTTAATTAAATAATTTAATTAATTAAGTCCAGTAACTTAAATAAACAATTTTAATCAATTAGGCTCAATGAATTAATTAAATAATTTAATTAATTAAGCCCAACAACTTAAGTAAATAATTTTAATCAAGTACTTGAGAAGCTCATAATTTTTAATTTAATTAAATCAAACTTAATCACCTCTTCTATTTTATTTTCAACCTTCATTTTAGGTGTGTAACCCATTAGACTTCCAACATGTTGGCAATGAACTTAATACATAACTCTTAAGTCAAACTTAAAATTAGATAATCAAATCAACTACTCAAAGTTCATATCCCAAGATTGGGATCTATCAATCTATTATAGCCACCTAAATGTTAGAAGAATAAAGATGGTTTAACTTAACTTTTTAATGATTAACTTTTCAGTGTAATTCATTTTCTCATCATATATCTTGAATATGAAAAGAGTATGGTGAAGTGTTTACTCTTACTGATCTTCATATTCGTTTTTGAAGTTTGATCATTAGTTTTGTAGAGACTTATGAAACTTCTTTTATAATCTCTAAGTCACATTGATCGAGGACTTCAATAAGTTAATACCAACCAAGAAACCTAAATCACTTGAGGTGATAATTTCTTTCTTGACCATTTATTTGCTTTAACATGTTTTATGCTATACCCAAAAATATTTTATTTTGACATCCTTGATTAGGCACCCATAAAGATGAAATCAAAACATAGCATTCTACATATATGACAACATGATGTCTCAAGTCTATGGAGTATTTACACAAGTGACACATGATAAGTTTTGCATAGATATTTCAGTGAAACACCAAACGTACTTTTCACGGTAGGTCATGTTTAGTGAATTTACTTTTTTAGATAAGTATTTACATTTTAGTTTTAAGTAGCTTTATACTTCAACTTATAAGATTGATTGTTTATTTTTTAAGTAAGAAACATAAAATGTACCAGTCTTTAGCTATCATTAATGTCCAATCTCAATGATACATTGATAGAAAAATTTAGAGATTGTACTTGATACATAGGGATCTCATTACTGCAATCCATTACAGTTGTCTTACAAAGCATATTAATTTTATAGATTTTATCTAATTAAATTTATAATTTATTAAAATTAATATTTTATTAATAAAATTTTTTTAATTATTTAACATGAATGATATTATTATATGATTGAAATCAAATTTTAATCAATCTTAATTGACTATAAAACTCATCCTAACACATGTTATATATTGTTAAGTGTTAATCGATCCTCAACTTTGGGGAGAAGAAGAAAAAGAAAAAGAAAAGAAGAAGAATGGAATTAGGCAGACCTGAGTCTTGACAGAAAAATGAAGGAAGAGGGATGGGTTGTGCGTGTGTGGCAGGCACCCGTGTTCATCAAGATTTTATATCTGGCACTGGCGGCCGACTATACTTAAGACTTTCTGTGAAGGAATCAACCTCACCCAACAAGATCATTGAGAAGAACAGCAAGTGATTGTCAAAACCAAGCCCCTACATGTGACTTTTGTCCCTCACAATGTGCTATAGGTCTCTAGGTGTATGGTGTTCTGTCTCTGTAGCAGCACCTGATTGTTCAATGTACCATGAGCTGACCACATGTTGCTTCGGGATAAAAAAAAGAAGAAGTTAGTGTTACTATAAACATTATGTTAATTAATTTTAGATTTTATATAAGTTGATTTAAGTAATTAATTATATTAATGATTTTGAATTTCTAATGTTAATTAAACATGTATAGTGAAACGCCCATTTAGGTAGGGACCTAAGAAAGTGTAGTCCCCCTAAATTCAAAGATTATGACATCTGTCTTATGTTTGGAACATGTAATTAAACAGTTGGAATTCAATGAAACATCACCGTAATCTTTGTCATGCGTAGTGTATTCAGATGAGATGTTGGTATAAGGTAGGTGTCCGAAGGACTGTTTATGAAGATGTTCAAGGCCTACGTGCTTGTCAATTTAATCACTCCGATTTTAATCAACCACAGTAATAAGTACCACTCTAATGTTCAGTCAAAACATGAAGAGTGACAGAGAGTGTTCTTTCTTTGTACTTTCAGCTGAAAAAACGAAAACAGAAAATTTACGCTCATTTTAGGAGAAAATAACAAAATAAAATAAAATAAAATAAAAATTGTACTCTCCCCTTCCACACCCTTTCTACTAATAATAAAAACTTCTGAGTTTCAAATTTCAAGGCAGCGGTTCGCTTTACACACCCTTCGATGATTAAACCTTAGCTCCTACATGATTGTTTGCTTACGTCACCCCCAATCCTCCTTGTACAAATCTCATTGGTTCTCCCCCTTTTATTTACTGCTGTAAATATCATTAAGTTACTCCAAAATCAGTGCCCTCTCCAACCCCACCTTGTATTAATCAGTCAAATAAGGTAATTTACTAGTCCCGATCGTCCTTGTTTGTAAATTACTTATTACCAACCTTTCTTTTTACTTTTTTACAATTTGCTATTTACCTAAAATTAAAATTTCTAGCTAACTTAATATTAACCAGTTTGAACCTATTTCTGTTGAAATTATAATTTTAAGAATTTATAATAATTATTTAATCTCAATTATAAATTATAAATTTCAAAACTTTTATAAATTCATGTACACGTCAGGCCTAAAGACTGATTGGACTTCCAACATTTATGGTTAAAATTGAAAAAAATGTTGGAATTGCCAATAAGAAAAATACAAGATATCAACTCCAATTGTCAGATTAGTGTTGAAAATACGGTGCGTTTGCCTTGTAACTGACGTAATAAGAAACAATTTATGTAATAATTTCGTTTCCCACTTTTTCCTAGTTGTTTAATTTAAAGCTGACAGTAGCAATAATCAAAATTTTGACTTTCAATTTGCATCTGCAAAAAGAGTACTTGGTTTTGTTGTACCACGTGGCACATGAAGACGTGAAGTGATGTGTCCACGTGTACCCACGTGTCAGATTAATTAACACGTGTCACCCAACCAGGGAGTTCTTTACGTGTTAATTATGGTTATCGTTGGTGTTTACGGGAGCTTTCATGCACTAAACTCCAAACACATGGGTGGGAGGGGATTGGGGGTTGTTAATTTTTGACTTTCATGAGGGTATTCTCGTCCGAAAATAAAAGCTATGACCCTTAAATTAAGGTACGGTTTCAAAACGTGGGGGGTGTCAGTGTGTAATAAACGATGTCGTTTACTGTTTTTAACAGAAGTATTGAGGGAGCTTTCAGACAAACACCGTTCAACGTCCGAAAATTCTGCCAAGCCGACAAAGATGCCTTTAATTTTAGGGCAGTAGAGTGACCTGTTAAAACCCATTGGATTTTGATGGATCGACTCCCCTATTCCCCCTGAAAGACAATTTTGCCACTGCCCCATCCCGGTATCAACTTCCTAGAGAAGGGTAATTATGTCACTTGAGGAAATTAATTATAAAAAAGTAAAAAAGGGTTTCCAAAGAATCAAAATTGAAAGGGTGGGTTACTGTTAAAGGCCGTCCAGGCCATACTGCCACTTGACAAATTTAAGATGGGTTACAGTCAATGTCTCAGAAATCAGAATTTGCAGGTTCCTCTCTCTCTCTCTCTCTCTC